AGCAGCAACAATAATATTGGCTTTGATCTGCTTCCGCATTTGACCTCTCTTCTCAATTACTTCTGAATCCTCAGCTCCAGTAAAAAGAGATACATACTTCTCATTTTTCGGGAAGAACTGCAATTTCACATTTAAGAAGAACAGAGATTCTCAACTAAGCTCATTCTAAATCATATAACTAACAAGCAGAAGGATGAGAGATAGTAAAAAAAGAAGGAAGGTAGAGTAAGTAAAAGTGAATTTACCCGAACATACTCAAGGTCTTCTTTGAGTTTACTTAGTTGCTCAGCTATATCTGTATCGCCCACATGAGCAGATGAAGTACGTTGTAACTTCTCAAGACGTCTAATACTCCTTTCGATCTTTCTCCGCTCTAATCAAGAAAATAAAAAGCTCTAACTTCTCAGGCATCATTACTAACTAAATCATGACTAAATATTAGACGACAGGTAAAAGCTCTTCTTACCAAAGAACTTAATCTTTCTGTTCCTAAGGAATATTTTACGTTCAACAGCAAGACGGGTATGAGCGTCTTGCTGCTTCTTCAAATCTTCCAACTTCTCTACTAAAGACTCTCTTACTTCAGGAGGCAAATCCTACAGAGTATCAAAAATACATCAACATTCAAAATTCTCAAATGGGTTTGGTTCTAATTGACCATAGATAATCAAATTCTCTACAAGAACACAACCTAGGAATAACATTGTAAACCCTTAAGCTCTACACCACACAAGCTAACTAAATCGCCAGAAAGGCTGGAACTTTAAGAGAGATTCTATCAAAGGAACCCTAATTTCAGAGAGAGAAAAGGAGCTGACTTTACGAAGAAAGCGTTCAACGGAACGCATCTGATTCTTGATGGAGACAGTCTTAGGTTTCTTCTCTACACGCAATACTTTCGACCTCCGACTACTTCCCGCCGCCTGATTAGGTTCCGAAACTCTTCTCTTGGCATAACCTCCGTGCGCCATGACTAAAGGATTTTGCCAAAGCTTTTGAAGTAGTTGAAGAAGGAGGAAGAGTTGAGACTTGAGAGAGCAACAGACAAAAATTAGGGGTTGTGTTTTTTTCTTTGTTCGGCGTTAGAACGCAGCGTATTAGGGGATACACAACTAGGTTGAACCGGATTATTTTCCGGTTAAACCGGTCTGTCGGATTGTGCTCTTCGTATTTTATGGCTTAGTAAATTTCACATTTGTGGATATCAAACTTCTGACTTTTCTTGAAGCTACCACTACTCAAACTTCTGACTTTTCTTGAAGCTACCACTACTTTTAATAAACTGTTTCAGTTTCTCAATAAACTAATAGACATTGCTCTCTTGACTTATAATTTCTTGATACAGTCAGTACAGGAATGCACGATTGTATTCCTTTTCTCTCCACCATTCATCATTTTCTCTTGTGTTGTTTCTTGCATCGCCTTGGCAGTAATCAACACAAGAGAAATGGCGGACTTGCTTCTACTAATACCCTGGAATAAAATCTTCACTGCTGCATGTGGCTGCTTTTTAAGCGATAGAAACTACATTCACTTGATGGAGTCAAATCTCGATGCTCTGGAGACAACTATGGAAAACTTAAGAATAGACGAGATGATCTGTTAGCAAGAGTTTCCATAGAAGAAGATAAAGGTTTGCAACGGCTTGCTCAAGTCAACGGATGGCTTTCAAGGGTAAAAAGTGTTGAATCCCAATTCAATGATATGCTTGCGGCTAGATCAACTGAAACTGGAAGATTGTGTTTGTTTGGATATTGCTCCGAGGATTGCATATCAAGCTACAATTATGGTGAAAAGGTATCGAAGATGTTGGAAGAAGTTGAAGAACTTCTATCTAAAAAAGATTTTGTAGAGGTGGCGCAGAAAATTATACGTAAGGCGGAGAAGAAGCATATCCAAACCACAGTGGGTTTGGATACATTGGTTGAAATGGCATGGGAAAGCGTCATGAACGATGAAATAAGAACCTTGGGTCTTTATGGTATGGGGGGAGTAGGAAAAACCACCCTCTTAGCTTGTATCAACAACAAATTTGTTGAATTGGAGAGTGAATTTGATGTTGTGATATGGGTTGTGGTATCTAACGACTTTCAGTATGAGGGCATTCAAGATCAGATTCTGGGAAGATTACGTCTTGACAAGGAATGGAAACAAGAAACAGAAAAGGAGAAAGCTTTGTGCATAGACAATATCCTTAATAGAAAGAAATTTGTGCTGTTGTTGGATGATCTCTGGAGCGAAATGGATCTGAACAAGATAGGAGTTCCACCTCCAACTCGAGCAAATGGATCGAAGATTGTTTTCACCACTCGTTCGAAGGAAGTTTGCAAGCACATGAAAGTTGACAAGCAGATAGAAGTTGATTGTTTGTCACCAGATAAAGCGTGGGAATTGTTTCGAATTACTGTTGGAGATGTCATATTCAGCGGCCATCAGGATATTCCCGCACTTGCAAGAAGAGTTGCTGCAAAATGTCATGGCTTGCCACTTGCACTTAATGTCATTGGCAAAGCCATGGCATGTAAAGAGACTTTACAAGAATGGTATCTTGCGATTAATGTTCTGAATTCGCTTGGCCACGAGTTTCCAGGTATGAAAGAAAGAATTCTTGGCGTTTTGAAGTTCAGTTATGATAGCTTGAAGAATGGTGAAATCAAATCGTGCTTCCTATATTGTTCTTTGTTTCCTGAAGATTTTGAAATAAAGAAGGAGGAGTTGATAGAATACTGGATATGCGAAGGATTTATAAATCCGAACAGATATGAAGATGGAGGTACCAACCAAGGTTATGATATAATTGGCTTGTTAGTTCGTGCACATTTGTTGATTGATTGTGGTGTCAAAGTTAAAATGCATGATGTGATACGTGAGATGGCTCTGTGGATAAATTCTGACTTCGGAAAACAGCAAGAAACAATTTGTGTGAAATCTGGGGATCATGTACGTATGATACCAAATGACATCAATTGGGAGATTGTGAGACAGATGTCTTTAATTCGTACTCACATTTGGCAGATATCTTGCAGTCCCAACTGCCCCAACCTTTCAACCCTATTACTCCGAGATAACATTCAGTTGGTGGATATTTCAGTTGGATTCTTTCGGTTTATGCCAAAACTTGTGGTCTTGGATCTTTCTAACGGGGGGCTTACTGGATTGCCGGAAGAAATTTCTAACTTAGGTTCCCTGCAATATCTCAATTTATCACGCACAAGGATAAAATCGAGTTGGTGGATATTTCAGTTGGATTCTTTCGGTTTATACCAAAACTTGTGGTCTTGGATCATGTACATGAGATCAGTCTTGTTGGGATAGCAACAACCTTACCAAATCTGCAAGTGTTGAAATTATTTTTTTCCCGTGTTTGTGTTGATGACATATTAATGGAGGAATTACAACACTTGGAGCACTTGAAGATTTTAACGGCAAACATAAAGGATGCCACGATTTTGGAAAGGATACAAGGAATTGACCGATTGGCGAGTTGTATTCGAGGTTTATGTCTACTAGGAATGTCAGCACCTCGTGTAATATTAAGCACGATAGCTCTGGGAGGTCTTCAACGCCTTGAAATTGGGAGCTGCAACATATCTGAGATAAAGATAGATTGGGAAAGCAAAGAAAGAAGGGAGCTTTCACCAATGGAGATTCTCCCATCTACAAGTTCTCCAGGCTTCAAGCAACTCTCCACTGTTTTTATATTCAATTTGGAAGGGCAAAGGGATTTGTCATGGCTGTTATTTGCTCAAAATCTAAAGAAGCTAGAAGTGGGCTATTCACCAGAAATAGAAGAAATAATAAATAAGGAGAAAGGAATGAGTATTACCAAAGTGCATCCAGATATTGTTCTTCCCTTTGGGAACCTGGAAATCCTTGAGCTAGAAGAATTGCCTGAACTTACGGAAATCTGCTGGAATTATCGGACTCTTCCTAACCTTAGAAACTTCAATGTCAGAGATTGTCCAATGCTACCTGAAGATGTCGCTAAATTTCTCAAGCTTGCAGAGTAATAACGGGTGGAAGGGTGATGACAAGTGGTCAATTGCTAAAGTGATGAAATCGAATTAGAGTACCAATTGTTTCCTTTGTTTCTTTGTTTGATTTGCTTCTGCTTCCAGAAAAGAAGGAACACAAGAGAGTCCTTCAAGTTTCTTTCATCTTTCACGTTTCTTTTGCTTCCTTGTGTGTAGGAACGTGTAGTTCCAAGACTGTTTCCTAAAATATAAATGAAAAAGCCAAAAAAAAGAGGCAGAGAAATTTGCCTGAAGAATTTTTGTTCTTGTGTTTTTTATTCATGATTTTGACTGGGACCTTATCATCGGGGATTAATAATGGGAGAAATATGTTTCTACGCAAAGGAATGGTCTCTACTGTATAAACTTTGCTCCCACTTTGTGTAACTGCACTGTATCCTCTCAGTTCTTAATTTGGTTTTGTATTTATATGTACTGTTTTTGTTTCAATTACCTCTTGTTTCTCAAAGTTTAAACTTTCCTCTCTTCACAGTGTGAATTCAAAGATTCGTTGGCGTGTTTTTGTCATGTTTGTGATGTCTCCTAAGAACATCAGCAATGCGGCACTCAAGAAGATAGATGTGAGGCAAATTAAATTAGTAAAATAAAGTTAGAGAGGAGAGAGGAGAGATGAGGAACAGAGGAGGAACACAGAGGAAAGATGAAAAATTGTTTTCATCGAAGGAACAGAGAGGAGAGATGAAAACAATTTTTTAATATAAAAAAAATCAGAACCAACCAAACAAAGACACCTGCCCCTCACACTCGGTTGTAAACTAACACTCGCATACGCATTCCAAGTGCACTGTTCTCTTACTTTTGAATATTTTAATACTCACACCCATACACAAAGTTTACCATTGTGTATGCTCTAAGTAACGAACCAGAGTTTGTCAAGGAGAGCATAGATAGCGTTTATGTTTCTGGATTGAGCTAGTTTTAGATCCATGTACCAGATTGTTCTTAGAAGTTAGAACGTTCATTGATTTCTAAGTGAG